TCTTCCCTGACCAGAAAGAATAGGAACATCCAGTGTTGGTGTGGCACAAGGAATTGTTTGCGAAAATATTTTTTGATCAGAGATGGCCGCATCCTCTACTTTTGTAATGTTCGTGAATCTTGCCTTGCACAAAGGACAAAATGGAGTCTTTCTATTTGAAGTCTGCACGCAACATAATTAGTATAAGAAACTTTCAAATTGTTCAAGGTAAAGACATTAGGGAAAAAATCATATGCAACAAATCATCATGAAATTAAGATCCAAACTGATGGTACAACTACAAGTAGAATACTGAGTTCTCATAAATAATATAGTAGTTTAGCAATCCTGAAATATTAGATGGCTAACTATTTTAAGTTCTAGACCATAAAGAGAAAAGGAACAGACATCATTTTCCACTACTCTTATTCTCCACAAACAGTTGGTCAAAACAGGAGAGGAGTAAAGGACCGAGAGATGTACAAGTATTGGCCTGTTCATAACATTACAAACAGAACTTACCCTCTGTTTACTGTAGTGTTGAAAATAATGCAAAGCAATTGATGGATTTGAAATTCTGGAGAGACGATCGTTCAGGAACAAGCAATATATGGAAAGTGGCAAAATCAAATGTCTAATTACTAAAGTAAGCAATGAATTAGAGAGGGCCAGAGTGACCTGGACCACCATGCTTCCTAATAAAAAAAGGAACATACATCAGTAAAATGGTGCATACTTGTACAATAGTGACAGCAAAAATGGTTGTTCACAGCACAAAATAGAATATAAGCTAGTAGAAGACGATCTTAAAACATCATATAGTAAATAGAACAAATAAAATATTAAACGAAGTATAATCATATCTAACCTAACTTCTCGTGTAGGATATTAATAATAATTAATGAAATGTCAACTATAAACATATGAATTTACATTATTAAAAAAAATAAGATAAGAATGTGTACCATCTTGTCAGCCCACTCCTGGATACATGAATAACAAAATCGATGTCCACATTGCAAAATCCCTCTTGTTGGACTAAACTCAGTCCAACACAAGGAAGCACGGGGACGGCAAACTTGTGCCGTTTGAAGTATCTGATACGTCCCCGGTACGGGGACGACACGGGGACGGCTGGGGTACGTACCGGGGACGTTCCACGGTGGCAGGGTACGGTTGAACGACGCCGGGAACGTTTCGCAGAATTTTGGGGACGTTTCGGGGACGGCATGTGACTTTCACATGCGTCCCCGGGATATTTCCGTCATTTTACAATAAAAAAAAAAGAAAAGCATAACCTAATTGAAGGCTGGAGCTTTCGGCAACAATGGAAACCAAATCTGAAACCTTTACAATGCGAGGAAGTGAAAGAACCTGTGAAGGTATAAATATAAGATGTTTAGGACTTGAGAGTCAAACCATAGGAGTCGGGTCTAAGTTGTACTGTTTTAAGAACATAATTGTGCACATATTTCTGAAATTTATTGATTATGTTGGTTGACTTGCTATTGCAGACTTCAGGCTTCACTTGGGAATTCATAATTTTTTCTTTTTTTTAATATTTTAGTTTCAAGGAGATTTAGAATTTAGTAATATTCTGTTTCGTTTTCACTTTAACAACATGCGTGTTCTGAAGGTATAAAACTATGGATAGAATTTATAAATATTCACAACTCACGAGCCTGAAAAAGAATTGCTCACCACATTATTGCGTCTTAAACAACTGAACCATAGAGCATATATATAATTATAAATACGTGTGTATGTATTGGAACTATCAAGATTCTTTTTTTTTGTAACTTTTGATGCAATGTCTTGTATAACTTCAAGGTTACATTACTACTCAATACACATTAGTTGCTTTCTATATTGGTTTTCATTTTTTTAGTACATACGGCTGAACATAGCTTTTGATCATGGAAGCACATGGTTATCATTTTATAATGTACTTAGAACATATTATATAAAATATTATTATTCGCCTTTTACATGAGTTATTCTAAAATATTATTATTTAATACATAAATTATATAAAATAAATTTTACATGAGTTATTCTAAAATATATATTTATAATTTTAAAATTATTTTATATGCCGTACCCTTGCCGTCCTCGTACCCTGTAATTTTAAAAATTGTCATTTCCCGTCCCCGTCCCCGTCCCCATCCCTGTATCCGTCTCCGTATCCGTATCCGTGCAACATAGGTCCAACATATAACACATGATAAATCCATTGATGTGGATAATATGGAAGCAAAATCCTGGGTCTCTCGCACAACATCAGAGCACCCATCTGGTGAAGCTCTTTCAGTGCCAGGTTGCGCATTCTTTCCTGGTGAAGCTAAATCAGCGGAAGGAGGTTGGATGTTCCACAATTCGATCTCCTCGACTTCTATTTCTTCATCTACTCTTTGAAGCTTACTGAACTCATGATTAGATGGTTCTCCAATTTCAGATATACCAACAGTCCTCCAATTAGATGGCCCTCCACTTTCACGATTACATGGATTTTTAACTCCAGCACATGGTTTATGGACCCTGAGGAGTGGAACTGGATAGCACTCTTGGTCAGAATCTGAAGAATCAGACACTACTATTTCTCTGTTAGTCTTCTTCACAAGCCTCCGTGCTTTCTTCTGAGATGATTTGGCAAAAAGAAGTGTCTCTGCTACCATCACGAAGATCTCTTTCTTCCCTCAGTGACAGAGCAGAACGATGAGCATTTGGCTCCTTGTTCTTTGAGATCTTCCTTTTGTTCCTCATTGGAGGCATAGAAACATAAGAAAATGGGTCTCCATGCTTTTCAACCAGATCAAGTAAAAAAGTTAAATCAAGAAAATAAGAAATGGACAATTATTCCTTAAAAATCCATACAATGACACACAGAATTTGAAGATTGTATTGAACTTCAGCAGAAACCTTGAAAATCTCACAGCTACCTCTAGAAATAGTTTGCAGTGTTACTTTCTATGAGTAGAGATTCTAATTTACTTGTGCATGGACATAAACCCAACCAACATACATTGCAGTACTAATTAGCAATCAAGAATCCTTAATAGTTGTCTAGCTTAAAGAAGCACTGAGGAGGAAAACAGTGAGGCGTGGAAACAAGAAACGAGGAGAAGTTATATAATCACCTCATCCAACAATGCAGATTTAGACCAACCAGATAAGCCAGAACCTCCATAGTCAACATCAGTTATTTCATTTAGAACACGATCGTAAACACTTTGCTTTTCAGAAAACACTTTGCACTTCTTAGTCGAGGCATCTCCCTTAGCAACATCAGGGATCTCCAGCAACAGGGGTCCCATTTCTTCTCCACTACAACAAAATAAAAAGGTAAAAATAAGACTCCAACAGTCGAACATTATCTCATTTTCCACCATTTTTTACAATTAACTTCAAACTTTATCAAGCAGTAAGTTCCCAACAACCACGATCATAGAAATTTTGAAGGATTCTATTGGCAGCTGCTTACAGAGAACTACATTTTAAAATATTGTTATCGCCAAACTCTAGGAGAAATGATGCATCAATTACAAACTCATTTAAACCGATTGCAATTTTACCTAGAATTATATTCTCTCTTCTATTTCCAATCTCGTCTACCAACAAAACTGAAAATATTGAATTTCCTTCTTTACTGCCAAAATCAGCCTTAATAAGTTACTATCAATCCCTTAAACATTAAACCAAACAAGCCTGCATAATTTCTCATATTGAGATAATTGTAATCTAACTTTTAAGATACATCAAACAAACAATAAATAAAAATTAGAAACAAAATGTTGAATTAATACCTTTGCAACGTATAAGGTTCCTCAGGCAAACGCTTCGCTTTCTTTATACAATCTTCAATCCACCGATGATTTACGATTATCAACTTTAACTTCTTAGCAAGATCATATTTCCTTCCTGCGAATTTCCGACATACCTAACAACCGAACGATTTTCAGTTTCTCCCCTTTATTTTTATTAAATCGAAGTAGTACTAAGAAATAAGAAAACATACCAAATGAGTGATTGATCGGGAGAAATTGCCGACATAGCTGGCACCGGCTAGAGATATGAGCTTGATTAGGTTGAACCGCTCAAGGCCTCTGTATCCACTCACCGATACCACCACCGATTTCATTTTTTTTCTTCAAATTTTAGATGATTATTTTATTTTATTTTTATAGCGAAATTGGTGTCTGATAGCCGGGAAAATGGAGGTTTTTTGAATTTTTGCTAGCAAAATAGACGGAAATGGGAGGGTTTGGCCCAGCCATGAGCCCGACATTATTTGGGCTGTGAAGCAAGATTGCAATGTTAAAAGATCGGTACAGTTTCCGCCTTTATTTTATAGAATCTTTTTTTTATTTAATTTAAATTTAGGATGAGTTGAAACAGATTTTATGAAGGGTAGAATTAAAATTAGGGCATAATTAAATTTAAAATAAAAAATTCGATCTAACCTAGTCTTGGAATAATTATTGTAATATATATATAACTATAATATTTTTTTATGTTTTTAATTATTTTCTTATTTTTACCACAATATTTAAAGCGGGTAAAACATCACCAACTATTAAAATAAATTACAACCAAATAAAATTCTTTAATTAAAACGATAAAAAAATTATATTGCTCAATACTTATCTTTGATTAGAAGTAGGACCATGAGTTGCTTTTAAATTTGATAAATTATTTTCATCAATTTTGAAAAGAATCTGTAATTATGTATAAATTAATATTTATCATTTATATTAATAATTTTTAATATCATATTTATGTAGGATATCTATTGAGTGTGAGCTGAGCAAGGGTTTCAACCTTAAACATATTATCAAAAGATTTTGAAACTTAAATTATCTTTAAAAACATCATTTTTAAATTTAAATTCGTTTATTTTTTCTTAAAGGAGATGATATTGGGGTATATATATATTAGTTTCATTGACATACAATATCAACAAAGCATGATCATTTTTTCATTTTTTGTTCATTGAATGATCATAAGACATATATTCATTTCCATTTTGATCGAATCTCACGAGTATGCCTAAAGTTTTAGTGCATGATACATTCATTCATTCATTCCCATTTTGATCGAATCTTATGAGTGTGCCTAAAATCACACCTTAGCACCAAAGTACCATCCATCCTTCTCAAATAAAAGCTCTCCACCAGCATATAACAACCAAATCTCCTCCACTCACCATCTTCACTCCTTATTTCTTCTTCTCTTTCAACCCTCACTTCACTCTCATCTCCGTTATACCACCCTCCTTCTTCTTGCAACCATTTCATTTTCTCCATTATTGCTAAACTCAACCCAACGTTGCTCCCTTTTCTGCCATCGTTTCTCGCCAAAGTTCTGAACCACCAGAACCCTCCATGGCTAACCTTATGATCTCTCGCGGCAAGCATACCGTTGACAGATATGAATTCCCTTTGCACGATTTTGTTGATGTTCACTACGGTTTGTTCATCGTTCTGATCTCTGTCGCATGTGTGAATCTGTTGCCACCATTGCTCGAGTGTCATCAAGTAGAACAGCGATCTCTTCATTTGTCGGCGTAGTCTTGTTTCTTCCCTGACGAATATGAAGGGACAGTACCATTGTCCGACGACGACCGAAGGTGACTTCTTGTTGAACATCGGGAATTTGAAGTCCGGGAGGCGTTTACGGAGCGACGAGTCGAGGCCTAGAACTTGGTTTAGTTGTAATCTGTATGAGCGTGAGATTCGGAGTTTCCACCCATTTCTCCTCAAGAATTTCGGTGGGGTTGAATCTGTTGCGATGGATTTGGCGAAGAAACTGTGCTTATGGTGACGAAGGATCTTGAACTGTTGATAAACGTTTCTGTGATCGAATGGTTTTGGTTTTACATCACTGATACCATCATTGAAGAAGCAACATAGCTTGCTGTCTATCTCCCTTGAACTTTTACATGCCAGCCTGCAAGTTTGCACATAAAACAGAACTCTCATGAGCAAAATTTGAACTTATACCTTAGACACGGATATCAAATACATACAAAGATAATATCTAAAATATATGATAATTTAAAATTATTTGGGCGACTGTTCTGTCCCCTTCAGTCTATCTACGTTGAATATACTCGGAAACTTACCCTTTGTATCTTCCCTTGGCTCGAATTACGTAGTACTGATTAGAAGAAAGAGGCTGGTCGAGGACAGGGATAAACCAGACCTTCTTGACCATAGTTTCTTCAACCTCAGATGAATGAACAACGTTCAACATCTTGTCTTGTGGGAAAGGCAGCCTTTCAACACCCTTTTTCTTGTAAGCCCCGCAACACAGGGTGTCTTGTTCATCAGCTTCTTCATCTGTAATCACTAAATAACCCGAATAAGGACCTTCAGCGGGTGGCTCGTCTTCAAGAGCAATTGGAGATTTCCTGTACAAAGAAAGAGGCCTTGTCACATACATCACGACTCTCTCTTTCTCTCCTTTTGTTTCTTTGAGTTGATGAGGTATTGAATGACCCTTTTTTATGATTGTTTTTTTCTTATTGATTAAGCTTTAAAAAGAGTTGGTCGATGGTAGAAATTTGAATTATTTGATTGATTTACATAACGAGGAGCACATGGATCTACGAAGCTGATGAAAAGCAGCAAAGGAAAGTTCCTCAAATGGCGACCACAACTTTAAAGAAATAAGCACACACAAAGTAACTAATAAATTAAGGCTTGATATGAAAATTATGCTCGAATTATAACTCATTAACATTTTTAAGTAAAAAACCGTTAAAAAGGTATAACTCAGGGACTTGTTTATGATTACTCCATGAATTAGATTTAAGGGTTTGAAGGATAAGACAAAAGAACACATTGCTTTAAACTTTGCTTTGTTATCCACTCTTTTTTATGTGCGCTTGCTTTGATGATGTATTACACATATCACATATGCAAGTTACTAATAGGAAGAATAATGCTTGCTTTATTTTCTGCTTTATATTTTTATACTTTATCATGAGCGTTTACATGATAAACTTTATTATCTAAAGAAAAGAAGTATTCAGAACAATTGAGAAATTCTTATGGATCAATAGTTATTCAGCTTGCATATTCTTAAATATTCTGTTGGAACTTGATATGGTTTCTGGAAGATGCCGATGGTTTTTTCTTTTTCAAAAGAGAACTGTGTCATGATTCTGGAAGTATTAAACTCGAAAACTGAATCACCGAAAGTGATTGAACTTGTTTGCGTTGTTTCCCTGCTTCTAAACACAAAAAACGACAACAAATGATTGATTCATTTGGTCATTACCTTAATATGGAGAAATCCAAAAGCATAGCCATCTGATCTGCCAGGCTTGTGCTCATCCTCCACTGCTACAAAGACACTAGTACAAGTTTGTGAAGGAGCAGATAGCGCATTAGCTATATGGCAGTTGCTTTTGAAGTCGAAAGTGTTCGATAGTCTCCTGTATTAGAATAGTATCATAAGAATCAGCAAAAAGAGATGCAGGGAAAAAAGGGGGAGATGTAGAGCAGGTTAAGCACCCATGAATGCAATATCTCCAAGGTAACATCGCCAACCCGGCCCCCATGGATTCAAGTGCACCTCGCCCTCAATAATCTGTGTATCTATTTATTCCTTAATCTGATTAAAAGCAGTCACATAAACCAACAAAAATGAACTGAAAATAGATTAGTTCTCAAATAGCAGTCAGCAAAGCAACCAGTTCCTAAAGCAAGCAAAAATGCTACGAATTGCTTCAGTAGAATCTAGAAAAAAAAAATTTAAGCACACTAAATTCTCTGAATCAAGCACAAGTGTAGTGTCTTTTGGGACGCTAAAGGTTCACGAATTGGATTTGAAGTTGGTAACCACAAAAGCAACTGACTTGTGTAGACATTAAATTTTTTGTCCCGTTTTTTTTATTATTTTATTATTATAATAATAATTATTATAATTGTTATAATTATTATAAGTATTATTATTATTATTATATTTTTATTATCAATAATAAATAATTTTATTACATTTCAGGTCCAAAATACAACCAAACCAGAAATCGACCCAAACGTGTAACCTTAAACCCGTTTAGGGTTTATATCTCAACCACAGCCGCCATCAGCTATCCACCGTTGGATTTGGCTTGATCCAACGGTCCAGATGGTCCCAGCAGAAAACCCTAGGATATCATAACCCTAGGGCCACGCGGCTGCCGCCTTCACATCCATCATCTCACCGACGCCTCAGCCAGCTACTACCGACACTCCAGTGCCACAACGCCGGCCTCGCCGAAGCCTCCAGAACAGCCACGAAGCCACACAAGTCGCTGCTCTTGGGGTGAGTCACCACCATAGTTTGGTGACTCACCGAGGCTTCCCCCTTTGGACTGGTCCGAGCCGAACATTGGTGGCTATAAAAGCCACCACCGAACCTGCAAACAAAGGACACAAAGAGAAAGAACCACAAAAAACTACGAAGAGAGAAAAATAGAGAGAAACGAAGAGAAACCAACAATAACCAACAACACCAAACAGCAAGCAACGATCGAAGGAAAAAAAGAGAGTGAGAAAACTTACCACCGAGGAAGCCGTCGTCAGAGCCTCCACACGCCGCCAAAGAAACCGAAATACCGTGGATATTTCTGTAGATCTAGGTAATTTCGGGATTGTTTAAAGGAAAAAGAGGTCGGATTCGTCCTTAGGACGACAGGATCTACATTTTGGGGTAATTTGAGAGTTCCGGCCACCGCTCACGATGGCCGACGGTGGCGATTGGCACCGGAACTTGACCGCCGGCCGGCTAACCTTCGATGGGAGGTTTTAGAGAGAAGGTAGAGAAATGAAAATGAGAAGAAATGGCCTAAGGGGGCCAGTTTAAAGGGTATTAATACCCTCATCAAAACGACGCCGTTTTGATGAGGGGTGTTTCTGTAATTACCCTCAAGGGTAAAACCCTTTCCACAGTCCCTCTATGTTTGTATCTTTACAATTTGGTCACTGAAACTAATTTATATATGTTTTAAATCGATTTTTCAATTTCATTTTATTTATAATTTAGTCATTAACATCATATATATATTTTAGGGTAAATATCTTGTTTAGTCCCTTAAGGTTTAATAATATTTATTTTAATCACGATTAATTAATTATGGTTAAATTACACTTTTAATACCCATATATTATATATTTCGAATTAGGGCTTTAGGTTTTATGTTTTATATTTTAGTCACTTATATTTTAATTCTTTTCATTTTGATCATATATTTATCTAATTACATAGTTTTAATTTATTTTATTTTGGTCATTATTTAATTACAATTTCATTTTATTATTATTATTGTCATTTATCTTTCAATACTTTAAATATTGTACTTTAATTATTTTTATTCACTAATATTTTATATATTTTTAATTTAATTAAATAATAATATTTATTTATTTTTAAATACTCAAGAAGGAAAGTCTTAAAATAGCTGGATGTCATTTTCTGATATTTTTAAATAAATATCCTACTTTTATAAATTATATATATATATATATTAATTATTTTTAGAAAAATGTTTTATTAATATTTATTTATTTATTTTAATATTAAGAAAGGGGCTATCTTAAAGCAACTAGAAGTCTTTTTTCTGATATTTCTAAGTAAATAAATATCTTAAAAATATATATTTATAAAAATTAATAAATTTGAAATCACAGGATTATGAATTAAATCTATTTCTGAATTCTTAAATTTCCAATAATAGAGATAATTTATAATTAATGGGTACCAATTTTGGGTGTTATAGGGGTGCTAATCATTCCCTAAACGTAACCGACTACGAATCCCTTTTTTATTAATTTTTTTTGTTATACGCAGATCAGTTTATTTTTTAAATTATGTTTTCTTAAAAACTAGTTTAAAAGATTTTTTTAGGTATTTGACCTACCTAACTCAAAAAGGTCAGTGGCGACTCCCAAAACATTTCAATAAAAAACTATTTATTTATTCACATTACTTTTCCGCCAAGTAAAAATTCGTACCCAGACGAAAACCGGTTGCGATAGCTTGGCGACTCCGCTGGGGACCGGTCAAACCTAAGTGGATTATATATTGTCTCTATAATTAGAAATTGAGAATCCAATTTTATTTAATTTATGATTCTTTTTATTTCTTTCAATTTATTTTATACTCTTGTATATTAATATTTAATTTTATGTTTAGATATTAATTTTTGTGTGAAAATTTCTCCTCACACACATACATTGCATGAACATAAGCTCTATAATTGAGCTCTTTCCCTTTTAAGTGGGAGTGAAAGCGACGTCTTCGTGAGAATTTATTCTCCGTGTCAGACCTTGTAAGTAACTTTCGGGGTTCATATATCCTATGTCTTCGTGAGAATTTATTCTCCGTGTCAGGCATAGGGAAATGTGTCCCCTCGAATTGAACTTGATCCGCTTAAGTTTGTAATGGACTAGGATTGAGGGTTTGGTAGCCCAAGGGGGCACCAACAAGGACAATTCGAGTACCTTTACTCTTAGAACCGAAACTCTGCATATAATAAACCCTAGAACTTCACCTAATCTAAGACAATGATGAAACCCTGTCCGTAGGTGTACACAAAGGAGAAATAAACTCTAGCTTTTAATTTATTTGATTTCATTTTTTTATTCTGAATAAATGCATGTGAATTAGTAATCATACGGTTAGGTTAATTTTTCCAAACAAAGCATAAAACTAGAAAACATGAGGTTAGGATTTATATATTATATCATGATATATAGGATCTTTTCTTTCCATTAATTGGAACTAACCATTTTATTTTTTCCTTTCTCATTTTTATTTTTTATGCATTTTATTTTTCTCTAATTTGTTTATATTAATTTCTTGTGCTTGTATTGCATGATCATGACATGACCAGAAGGTGTTGACTTAAAAGACTGTTCATCAAATTGAAAAGTTTTCATAAATGGACAAAAAGTTTTATGATCAAGCTAAATATGACGTAACCATGGAATGACATCCGGAGGGAACTACGAAGATAGAGGAGAGCTATACACCCAAAGATCGTATGCCCATTGAAGAGTAAAATGTGATACGAGAAATAAGAGAGCAGATGTCCAAGATGATGGGTAGAATATCTATTTTGGCCAAAGGAAAAGAGGTTCCTGCACAAAAAGAGAGAGAGGTCAATGAATATAATCTTGCAATTTTAGTTATACAAGGGACTTCTGATCCTAACCAATTTGAAAAATTACACACAGTCATCATTCGTATTCATAAATTATCTAGAGATACCAAAGAAATGGTGATAACTGTAAAAGCTCCCGGAGATGAGAAGAAATCATGTAATCTGAAATCGTCGAAGTTTAGTCTGATCCCGACGTCTAAAATTCAGGTTCAATTCAAGACAAAAGGCGGTTCTCATTTTGATACTATCCCTATATCATATAAAGAGTTATACGATAAGCTACTTGAAGCACGAGAAGTGGTTTTGTACTACATAAAACCGTTCTAACCTCCGTATCCGAATTGGTATGACATCAACGTTTACTATGAATATCATGCCGGAGCTCAAGGACATACCATTGAGAATTGTCTTGCCTTCAAACGACAAGTCCAAAGTCTTTTGGATCATAGAACCTTACAATTTATGATAAATGATCGACCTAGTTTGGTAGCTGAAGGTCCTGCTAGATTAATACCAAAAGTGTTCAAAAGTAAGAGCATCA